TATAAAAAACTTTCGTCGATGGCTGAGCAGGAAGTGGCAAATTCATATCCCCTATAGATTATTTTGTCCCAAAATTGATCAATCTTGCGGCAAATAATGGGAATAATATCTATATGTATACATTGATATTAGTATAATTAACTTAAAGGTTGGAAAAAGATGAGAAGATGAAAAAAGAACTTACCGGCACAGCAATGGAGAAAAAACAATTACGAATATAAGTTGATTTACGGTCTCACTAGCCCGTAATCTATTTTATTTATTTGACATTCTCGAGAGTTTAATTTAGAGATTTGTTATTGTATTTTTCTATTGCACATCAAATTGTGATAAGATTAAATAGGTAAAAAATATTTTTTTTTGTTTCATTATCAGAAATTTCTTCTGAAAGGGTCATAAATTCGCACTCTTCCGTCACTTAGATTCTATTATATTTGAAAGTTTTACTTGCATTTCTTATTCGTCATATGATTTTATTTATAACGTCAATTTCATACATTAAGCTGATCTTTTTGTCCCCGTACTTAATTTAAATTTTAATTCGCTTAACTTTCTACTTCAGAATAACGTACAGTTCGTCCGAAATTTCCTTTTGGTCAGACTTTCCTCGAACCGCAAATGTAAGTACCAGAACGTCGCGTGAGTGAACATTTAATTTTTTGCGATGCTGTAAAAATGAAACAAGTGTTAACGATTTTTCATCGCTTTTCCCGCCGAAACTTCTTCCTCGCGGATGTCGCAAAAGAAAAGTCTCTTAGAAATCCCGAAGGGAACAGCTGATAGCCAAGAAACAGCAACGAGAATCCGATTAAGGAGGTCAAGAAGAAATAACATATACGCGTACGAGAAATAGCGTATCCATCGATGTTTTTTCCTCGCTAAGACAAAATTCCGACGAAGCGTCGCGAAATTGGAGCGGAAACGAATTCCGCCGTGGTCAGCGACACACGGTGTGAATGATGGCGAAATCCAGACAGACAATAAATACACATGACAAGTATAAATGTGTTGCATCTCTCTCCGTCGCGATGGACAAATGAAAAAAATATGTGTACGTTATTACTTCAGGTAAATTAATTTTAATAATATTTATATTTGTTATTTATAACCTTAACTGTAGCTTTTTAAATTACATAAACAAAAAAACTATTGCAAAATATATATTTAAATTTTTGTTCAAAAAAGATTTTATAAAAATGTTAAAAACCAAAAAATCCTCGCAACGAATCCTGTCATCGAAGAGATCGACAGTGTAGACGGTTATAGTAGGCGTCGATGAATCAGGTTCGAACGTCTCGACGCCATTAATTCCGAACGACGGCAACGACGACGGCTCCTACTTGCGACGAGTACTCCGGAAAGAAAACGATAAGTAAGTAGTAAGACGAAAAAAAAGTACGACGACAGCGAGTTGAGCGTGCATTTTCGCTCCTACGTGCCTTCAAGAATGAAGAATGTCCTGTTAGTAAACGTTTTTCCTGCATGAACGAGAAATATCTAGTTTTCATGCAATTTTTTTTTTTACAACAATTTTAAAAAATTGAAGAATACAGGCATCCAATTTCTTTTTTAATTTTGCAATTGCTATCGACGCGTAGTTTCCGATGCACAAATTACGTATTTTAGAAACCGTGACCTCTTAATTAGAATCTTGACAGCATATTCGCTACATAAAAATATTGTAACAAAGTTCGGAATGTTAAATCACTCGTGATGATTACGGCAGTTGTTTTCATGACAATTACGCCTGTTGGCACAAAATATTCGCCTTGTCATTCGCGTACTTTCACCTCGTGAAGATTATTGTTCGAATTTCGAGCTCGACGCGTCGTTGGAGTCGTCAAATCAATCACGATTATCCTATAAATTATTTACTTGATGACGGGTGAACAATTGCGACGATAATTTCGTCACGGAGTAAAGAAATATATCCTATTGGGGGAGCAATCTTTTCAAGCGGGTCAAGGCTGTTCTTTTCGAGTAACCATGATACTCTTTTCGCCCTTTCCAACTATACGATTTAAATACGTTTCGACATTTCGTACAGTATCATGACAATGCAGTTGTTATGATATATAGCATTACGGTATCAAATAAAATAATAATTATTTAGTTTTTATATCATGTATAAAACATAATTTTATATCTTCTTTTTTCTACTCTTGAGCTATAATTTTACTATATAAAATATGTGAACTTAAAATTATATTTACTGAATTAGACAATATCACAGCGATCTAAGCAGATCATAGTTGCTTCTAAATAATTGTGTGTGAATTTATATACTACAAACAAGAATAAAATATGTTAAATATTGCAAACGGAATAATTTGTTATACAAACGGAAGCCAAAGAACAATGTGACAGAGAAAAAGCGCAAGAAAAAAAGAGAAAAAGGGAAAAGAGAGAGAAAAAAGCAGACAAGAGGATTGTTAATCGCATATAACACGCGTGATGGATGTGAACTACTCCCAGTGGCAGTAATTTGCGTCTTTTTCCTGTCTTCTCTGCTGCTTCCTCTCAGTATCGCTCCTCTCCCTCACCTGCTCGATTCATCTGTTTGCTTATGTAATGCTTGTGCAATAATCACTGACGTTTAAGCAATTGACTGCCTGCGGCAGTACCATGACAGTCCTATTATGATGAATTAAAGGAAAGAAAAAAAAAGAAAGACCACCAACCACTGTTTTGTCCTTTCTCGGTCAACTTGTCGAGCTTGACATTGCCGAGACAAGATTTATTCCATCACGTTAATCTACCACATTTCCGCTTGATGTTTCTCATAATTTTTGAGATATTTTATATGTAGCAATCATATTACATACGTGATAATTAAAAAAAAATAAAGAAAATATCATAAATATTCCATAAAATCATTTTCGATCAGGATTAAGAAAAAAATTTAATGATTTCATCAATTAGTTTAATTAGTTATTCTAAATAGAAATAGATCTAATTAAAAAAATTTTAATTTCTTAAATATCTTCCTTTGCGTTAAAATCGCAAAAATATTCAAGCGTTTAAAAAGATGAGTAGCATTGCATTTATTATCATTACATTTTTTGTATTAATTGTGGTCAACTATATCATTAAATTAATAAGCGTTATCAATAAAAAAATCATCATTGAAATGTAATGATGGAGCAAATATAAAATAATAGAGTAGATATAATCATACTAAATATAGATTTTAGAATGACATATGGAATATTAATCGTATATTCAATATAAAATATACAAGGCAAATCAATCATGCAATCTAAACGCAACTGTACCCTATCACTTTATATAGCGATTTTATTACAAGTGAAATCCGGTCAGGAGTTTATCGTTCTGTATATTCTCGGAAAGAAGGCGCGTAAGAGCATGCGGTGAAGGTCGTAAAAGCAAAAATGGAAAATCTAACAACGTTTACTGCAGAAAATAGATGTACTCATAATGTTTATTGACCGGAATAATCAGAAATCGAGATCACGAGGAACAGGGACGCGTTTATAAAATCTGCGCCTAGAGGCGTGTAATTTTCAAGACAATCTATAACCCCTCCTCCTCTGTTTCCAATCTAATGAATACTATTCTTTTTGCACGCCTCTAACTAGATAAATACATCAACTAGGTACTGACGAAAAGAACCTAAAGCGATGTATGCATTTCCAAAGACCCAGTGCTGTAAGTTGCAAAGACAATAATTTCGCTACGAGAAGAGAGTGGAATTTATTCATTATTAATGCAATTAAATTTACAAAAATAGACTATGCACAAACATTGTAAAAACATGTTTCTCGATATTCACGAATATGTAATTGTAATTAATTACAGCTATATGGTGTTTTCTTTCGATCAAGGTTAACGAAAGAATAGCGAATAATTGTGAATCTCCCTCATCATCAAAATCATTCTATTTTTTACTAATTGTAAGAAATATTTTTTGAAATCATTACAATCAAGAATTAATACAATACGAATAATAATTTATACAATAATACGAGATTTTATGCGAATTTGAGTAACTACATAAATAACTATCTGGAGTATAACATAATAACTATACAATTACTTTTCAAGTAACTGTAATTAACAAAGTAACGCAAAACGTTACTGGAAAAGTAACTTTAAGTTACTTTTGCGTTACTTCTTTGTAGTTACAGTTACTGAGAGAGTAACTGTAAAGTAACTTTAAGTTACATTTGAGTTACTTTTTTTATTTATATTTAAAATACATTATGACTCTCTCTCACAAATACGTTCTTACTTAATAGAACACATATTATAATATATAACAATCTTTTTAAGAATTGAATAAAAATTAAAAATTACAATAATTTAAAATAATATTAAATCGAATTAGAGATATATTAAAAAATATTAAAATTTAAATTAAATAACAGAAAAATAGTGAAAATTAGAAATTAAATTATACTTTGTTAAATTTTAAGTTGATAACATAATACTGTCATAAAACTTGAATTATAGTGTAAAAAAAAATACGCTAAAATTTCTGTTTTAAGATAAAAGTTTAGCCAATGCATTATTATTGAGTTTTTTTTGCGTATATTTTTTGTGAATATTTTGGCGCAGATTATTAGTATTAAAATTGGAAACAAATTAACTGCATTTATAACTTCCACGAGTTGGCTTGATATTTCGCCAAATTTATGTAAACACGTAGTGCCAAGCGTAAATCGAATATCGGGTAACCGTTGCCAAAACACGTAGAGATTGTAAACTTGCGAAACGTGAGTTATTCTATGGCAAAAATTTTTATAATTTCCTGCAATCCTGCCATTCTCAAATTTTATATACTTATATAAAAAAAAGAATTTTCACTTACAAGTATTTATATTTCTTGTTATACATTGATCAAATTCTAAAAAAGGATTTGATTATTTTTAATAAATGATCAAATTTAAAAAATATTACTTTAAAGATGAAAATGATATAAAAGTAAATTATTATTGTATATATATATATATACACACACACACACATATACTTTTATATTAAAAAAAAGGATAATCCATATTTTCTTCTAATTCCTCTTCTTTCTCTTCTTCTTTTTCTTCATAATCCTCCTCCTCCTCTTCTTCCTCACCCTCGTCTTCATAAAGTGCTTCTTGCTCTTCCGGTACTAATGGTACCACATCCTCTAGTCCTTCGGGAAAATATTCCGTTATCAGTCCTTGAGCCTCCTCGTCGACTTCTGTCACGAAGAACGGCTCGTTGCCGGCAAAAGCCAGGAAGGCTTCTTCGTTGATTCTTCGAATTATGACTACAAATACCTCGACGCCAGTTTTGTACTTCACCTTTCACAAATAACTTTTATTCGTTACAAATACCATTGCATCGTTAAATTATAACAGAAAAATAATTTATTTAATTTTTCAGTTAAGTTTATCGAAGATTATTATAAGAGAGAAATTCTGTATTTAATCGGATTAAATTTTATCGAATTAATTGTATTATAATTAGAGAAAAATAATGCACCTTTTCGAAATCCTCGGGTGAAGACGCGAGGCGTCTCGCGTAAGGTGGCCGGTCAAACTCGAAGACGCCAAAATGTTCAATGGCATTATAATTCAATTCGTACGCGTCCCGCAATATGCTGAATTTCGACGCATCGAATTTGAAAGCACACAACGGCGGAGGAACTGTCGGCTCTTCATAAGGATGAGCTTTCTCCATGTAAGCCGGAAATAAAGTCTTGAAGACGTGAACTTTACTTCTAGCCTAGAAAAATTCCGTATATCGTGTTCGTAACGATCTCTCACTTCTTATAAATTTTTAATAAATAGTACTTCCTTGTAAATGTTGTTATTATAATAGTTACAATTTATACATAAGAGAAAATATTCGTGATAATTATTATGTCGTAGAATTTTCTTTATCTTTCTCTATTAAATTAATTTAATTTAATCTCCCGCTCAATTTGAAATTTCACTCAATTAATTTAATTAATTTTCAATCATTCTACAGCGTCGTCATCCAAATACCTGAGGAGGTACCCAAGCCGCGGGATGCACGCGGCGCACGTCACCCTCAATTTCCGGATCCGGCTTGTGCACGTGCACATGTCTCTGCATGTAAGGTGCATCATAAGTCGGTCTGATCGCAGGCACGTCAGTTTGCAAAAGAGGCGGCGGTTCTTTCGTGATAATGCTAATAAGATAATTCTCGACATCGTTGATCGCTCGGGTCGGATACATCGTCGAATCACGTTCCGGACTCTCGTAAGGATAATAGACTGGCCAATCTGGATGGGGCGGTTTGCCTTTCAATCTCATCGCCATACATTTCCCGTCGGTTAGCCCTAAAGAAGTTCGTTTGTATTAATTTTTCTGTTTTTCTCTTACCCTTCTTTTATTTTCAAAACTTATGATATATATATGAAAATGCAACTAACTCTCTCTCTTTCTCTCTCTGTACATAGAGAGTGAATATTACGAATTATGCGACGTACGACAATCTGTCAGTTATTACGTCACTCAGATCTCATGGTTATTTCTGATCCTGGGACTTGCCTTTCCAGTACCGCACCTTTTATCAATTCCTCGGTGATGTCGACGCCGCTCTCGACGAACATCTTCTCGATCATGTCCTCATTCAGTTGGATCCGTGCTTCCTCCTGTACATCGTAGCATTGTTTGAAGAGATCCTTCACGAGTTCTATATACGGTGGACTCTGCATCTTATCCCGAGGTCTTCCACGCTCGTCCTTAAAAACCCACGGATAAAGCACCAGCGCCGTATGCTCGCACAACTCGACCACCATTTGCGCCATGAATCGCTCATATTTCTCCAACCTCTCGGCTTCTTCCTTTGCTTGTTTCTTTTCTTCCAGCGCTCGCCTTTTTATCGAGATGATTTTTGTGAAATATATGTGACATTTTTCAAGATTGCGCTTTATTTGCTTTGCGACGCAAAATTGTTGCAAATAAAATGTCCGACAATATGTCCGAATAAAAATAAGAAGAGTTAAAAAAAGATTTAAAATATATATTCGATAAAGTTATTTTATTAAATTATAAAATTATTATTGTACTATAATCGTTTCACGTTTACTATAAAATATTGCTGTATCTGATCACGCAATTTTTTCAATTATCAAAATATGTATTACACTACAAATTGAAAAAATTACGTGATCAGATACAATAATACTTTATAGTAAAACGTAAAACGACTATGATACAACGATAATTTGATAATTTAATAAAATAACTTTATCGCATATTTTAAATCTTCCTCTTAGTTGTCCTTATTTTTATCCGAACATATTGTTAGAGATTTTACTCGTAACAATCCCTACTGCTAAATTCTATAAAATTTATTTTTCTTCACCTAATGGCTTCTTGTTTCTGCCATCGGATCTCCTCTTCGGGCGCCCGTTCATGTACATCCAAACGCCACTTCGGAGCTTCTAATTGCTGCACTCTTTTTATCTCATTCATCACTAGCTTTTGCAAGCGCGGACAATGCGCACCAAACATTAGATTCACCATCTTGCCGTCTTGCAAAAACATCCAGACGGGTTCACTTCGACCTCGGAATCTGGCTAAGTCGTCGATGTCATCGTTTCGCGCGATCACGTAGTCCACCACTTCGACGCCTACCTCCAGTTTGATCTTCTTCAGGGTGCTTATCATGGCAGTGCAAGGTCCGCTCCAGTCAGAGTACACGTCTACAACGACGAGGCCCGAGCGACTCAGTAACTGTTGCCATTCCTCCTCAGTGTTCACCTCGATTTGCAGAGCCACGGGTCCAGTTTTCTTCATAATATTTTGTCGCAGATCACGATTACTGAAAAAACTTTTAACCTCACGAAAGGACAAGTGCTCTGGCTAACCGTGTGAAGTGTCGCTCGAGAGAAATGCAGGATGAAAAATGACGTGAGAGTGTAACAACGATATTTATACCCGTGTGAAGCTGGCTCCCCAATATTAAAAAATCGACTTTTTCCTTCATGCATTCGTTTGCTCACCCTTAGTTCAAAAGATTTGTGAGCAAACGAATGCCAAAAAAAATGATTTTTTTTTCCAAAACTTAATTTTCTTTTATCTTTTGAACTAAAGGTGAGCAAACGAATGCATCAAGAAAAAAATCGATTTTTTAATATTGGGGGGCTAGTGTGAAGTTGACCCCCCAAAACATAATTATCGTATATCTTTTGAATTAAAGGTGAGCAAACGAAAATTCCAATTGAGCATTCGTGAACAAACGATGAGCAATCGAATGCATGAAGAAAAAAATCGATTTTTTTAATATTGGGGGGCCAGCTACACACCAGTGATTTTTATAAGATAATTTTTTTTAATGCTTTTGATTCTTGCTATATTTATAATTTTATAAATGATTCATCTCCCTCTCTCCTCGTCCTCTCTGTCTTTGCAGAGGAATTTGTAAATTTTGGTATTTATTTAAATTGTAATTCTTCAAGACTTCTCTTTTTCTAAAATATTCGTAATATTTTTTTAACGTATATATATATATATAATAATTATAAATAATACTTATAAAATTTTCTGTATATTTTAAAAATAATTATGTTTAATGCTCCAATCATTTAAAATTACAATCAACTGACGTGTCCGCGACAAAACTTTTTCATTTTTAATTAATAAGAAGAGATTATTGATTAAATAACATGTCAAAATGATGACTGCGGCTCCTTTATGCACTCTGCTCCACTCGCAGAGACGCAGTTACGGATGCAAATTGGTTAAAACGATGCTCGCTCGCGAACGACGCGCGAGATAACAAGCATCGTTGGCTTGTTCGAGCGTGAAGAAGCCAACATGTGTCTCTCGCGCGAGCGTAAAGAGAGAACAGAAGAAGGAAAGATTGGGAGCGCCGATAGTGTCAACGTCGACTTCGCGCTCTTATGGCCGCGGTGGCGGCAGCGTCGTTTAGGTTTACGTCCCTAATTCACGTCCAGCCGTGATAATTAGTCTCGAACGAGATCGCGAGACGACTCTTGACACGTCCAGTCCTTTTCCAGCGAATCTCCAACGTGACTCACGAGCAAGATACATCGAGAACCCGATAAAAATTCCGTTGCGTTTTATAAAAAAGCTCTCTGTTTTCAATAAATTGAGCAACATTTATTCCAATTAAAAAAATGAACATTTGCTAGAATGTATTATAGTAAGCATAAGTACATTTTTTGTGAACGATCTATGGCGCTTTTAATATGATTTCATCGGTTCCGTTGTCGGAAAGACGATGATTCACAAAGAGAACGATCAGATCAACGACGTTGTTCATCATTCCGTTTCCAGAAATGTTCCCGCAATTTCGCGGGATCTAACAGGCGCCATTCATTGTGACGTCATCCTTCTTGTGGCCGGAAGAATAGCGAGATCTAAATGAAAATTACAACCGCAAGTTGCGAACGTTCGTAGCGAGGATAATGAGCGCGGTAAAAATAACCGCAAGAATGTTACCGGGAGAATATAATATTTGCTAATTATTTGTCTCTTCGAGAAAAATATTTTTGCGATTTTTATATAATGCTTCAAATAATAACTACATAAAATCTGCGTATCGCATATAATTTTTTAAATATTCTCAATCCAATTTGTATTTTTGTATACAATATCCAGTATTACTATATTTAAAAATGTATGTTTTAATCAAAATATAGTAATACTTTTCAAATTATAACAAATTTTTAATTTAGGCAGAAAATGCTGCAAGGATTTTCTCAAGAGTACTATATGTTAGTTAATTTAAGATCTCATTTTTTGATTCAATATATTCTTTTTTCCTCAAATTAAGTTCGCCTTGGATTAAAAGTTAAAAGAATCTTGTTTTGAGAAAACATGCATATATTTTTATAATAATAATTATAATATATTAATAATATAACATCTAATAAAATCTTTATTGAATCAAGTCTGAATTTTTATGTTTATTATTATAGCTATTCATTATAACATATAAGACTGGTGTTTTATTTCATGTTTTTTTTACAGTTCAATCTATTTCATATAAATCAAGTTAAAGTACGGAAGTTTCGCAAATTAAGCAACGTGAATGAGAAAATCGCACGTGTCGACAAGTAAGTATTGCACCATCGTCGATCCTTGTATTTTTTTTTTGCAACGTTTAATAACAAAATCTGGTTCACTCCAGGACAGCATATTTCAATCGTTTAAGAGTTTATCGATTCCTAACACAAAGATTTGCTGACAAATTGAAACGGCGATTGGAATTTGTCGTACTGTAAAAAGCCGATTCTCAGGTCAATCGAGTTCATTCTCGCACAAATTACGCAAATAAATAATCGCACAATACGTTGGAACTACAGAATACTATTAAATTTGAAAGATCACGTTTATAAAAAGAATTATGTTTAGAAATATCGAATTTTTTAATCGAAAATATCTTAACACAAAATTCAAATTATAATGTAAAAGATAAAAACTTTTAATTAAGAAGCTTTAAAAAAACCTTTTTAAAAAAAGAAAAAATATACGCCAAGTACATAAAAAAGGCATTAAATTCTTTTTAATCAAAAACGGACATAAACACATCACATCTATTATTTTTTTAGTATTTTTCATGTTCCACAAGCTATATTCGTCATATACATACGTATATTATACTTATATACATATATGTATGTTATTTTTAAGTCTATTATTTTACATTTTAATTTAATTATAATGCAAATACTATGTTGGAATAACGTTTTCACTAAAATACAATTAATGCGACCCGGGCTCGCCACGTTTTTTTCTTCACTATAATCCAATTTTAGCCACTTTCGGTCCATCTTGTGTATCTTGCGTAATAAAATACTTGGATAATTATTATACATTTATTTCATGTCCGTTCTTGATTAAGAAGAATTCAATACCTTTTTTATGCACTTGGCGCATATTTTTTTTATTTTTAAAAGTTTTTTTTAAAGGATTTTACTGCTTTTTATAAATTTACTTTTTAAACTTCAGTTACAAGTTATACATATTAAAAAATATCAGGAGACGCGATATAGTGTCTCCGGCCTTGTTCAAAAACTACTAGTTAATATATGAAAGATTAATAATAATAAACATTACAAGTCTCTTATCCCGATCCACCAAAGTCCATTTTTTTTAGGGGGAGGGGGGGGCATAACTTCTAAAATATAAAAAATTTTGAATCGAACATTATGTCCTGAAAGGCGGCATCGCCACGAGTAATGTGAGCCAAAAAAATTTTAAATCGGTCAAGCCGTTTTGGAGATAGAAGCGGTCAAAGAGTGATGATTTTAATGAAAAATTAAGAACACCTCCTTCTCTGTCTATCTGTCTGTTTGTATGTATGTCTGTTCGTCCGTCCGTCCGAAATATAATTTTTTAATATCCCCTTTCACCTTTTACTCACACCTCTACAGTAGAGGCTCTACTAGATTATACCCCGCGCGTATTAGGTTTTACTCCTCGGCGGGACGTCAAGCGATCATGTCAACGCGGTTATATTTTTATTTTATGCACTTGGCGTCGTGACGCTACCGCGTCGCTTGATAATTTCTTAACACATAATAGTTTTACAAAATTTATTGTTTCTTAAAAACGTATTAAATCAATTTTATCTAAATAAAATTCAATAAAAGAAATTATTCGTGCAATTTTCATTTTTATTCCACGTTTGAATTAAATTTCTAATATTTTATACTCGACGTAAGATTACGCGAGTTAACGTTTAAATTAATATGAAATGTGCGTACATCGTAAACTCACAACGAGGCTTGAAGTTTACGAGCGTATGAGTCCTCAGGCGACTCATTCGTCAATTCCATTTCAGCATAATAATACCAAGACGAGAGCATAGGATAAGGGGGTCTAAACGCGTTCATCAAGCTAACGGTCGTGTCTTGTAGGAACGTTTACGATCGCACTGAGTGCCACGTTGTTTCGCGACTGCGATCGACCGACAGTGGCGAAAAGAACTCGTTTCTTCATTAAAGGGAACGACGACGATGCCGTGAAGAGCTATAAAGACAAATAGTAGCAAAATGAGCCCAACGAGGCCTAATGACGGCACATTTGCATCAGTCATTAAGACCGACGGGAAAGTCTGATGTCGGCTGATTTTGTCGGACAAACTGAACTAATGCGTATAAGCCTAGATGAAAGTGACGCTTATATCTCGCGGTTTTCTCGTCTTCCCGCGCTACTTGTACTTTTTATCAAACTTTGACGTTATTTCGCTATTTTTTACATGAAATCTCAAGACTTCAATTCTCACAGCACACGGTGGACATTTTTTTTTTAAGTACCATTCGCGGGATGCAAATATTTCTCGATGTTGTCACGTTCCGCCCACGTGTACTAATTTCATTGGTGTTGCAGGATGTCACTTCTCAATCAAAGGCGAGTTCATGGAAACGATAGAATGATTAATCTCAATCTCGTTCTCTTTCTCTCATGTTCTCCCTCTTGAATCGATTCCACGATATCGGGACGGATACTCAGAGACAACACCTACGTATCCTCGTAAAAACTTCGCGAAATGATTGATTGTTATCATATCGAGGCTATGCTGCTAACCTGTTAATGCGTTCTTAAGTTATTGCGTTTACGTAACGAATAATTGTCTGGATGTTATGACTGGCGCCAAGTAAAGTGCGTTCTCAAGATCAATAAAGAATATTACAATGTCCGTGCTTCTTTCATTCTGCAGATTCTTCGAATATCATTTGTAAAATAGAGTTTTATTTAATAAAAATTTGAAATATATAATAGTCTAAACTATAAACACCATTATCTACAGATGGCCTCAAGATATA